CTCTCAAACTTGGGATTTGCCTGCTTCAGTCTCCTAGAGTGCTGGGAATTCAGGCTTGTGCCACTGCATCTGGCCTTGTCTTGTTAGTCGTCACAAGAATTAACTCAGAAAACATGTTTTTTTGGGCTGGTGAGATGGCTCAGTGGTCTAAGGCACCTACTTGGAACAAGCTTGGCAAAGCACAGGAACCGCGGTTCAATCCCCCAGCACCACATGCCAGCCAGCCCTGCCCCCTGGTGGGCTGAGCTGGCCACACACACACACATAAATAAATAAAATTTAAAAAGAAAGAAAATATGTTTTTTTGTTTCCTGTGTGCTGTGATATGCATCTTGCTTGTTTACTGTTGGAAAACAAGTTCATAGTGCAGGGCCCCCCCTTGTCTTTTTGAGGTAGGGTTTCACTATGCAGTTCAGGATGGCCTTAAACTGGCTGATCTTCCTGCCTTAGTCTCCCAAATGTTGGGATTATAGGCATTTGCCTTCCCTCCCTTTTTTTGACACAGGGTTTTCCTGTGCATTTCAGGCTCACCTTGAACTCACTATGTGGCCCAGCCTGGCCACAAACTCATGGTGATTTTTCTTGCCTCAGCCTTCCAGTGCTGTGATTAAAGATGTGCACCTGGTTGTAAAGGTCCCATCAGCTCCAAAGGGCCCATTTTAAGATTAGTTTGTTACTAATGTTATGATTTACAGATTTTGCTGTTTCAATATTATTAGAAATAATCTTTTGCCAGGGACATAGCTCAGTGGAGTAAGTGCCTTCCTGGCAAGTGCAAGGTCCTGAGTTTGATCCCTGATACAAAAAATAAATAATTTACTGAACCCTGTTCCTAGGATTGAAGTGCGTGCAGTAGTAAAAACTTGGTAAATGGTTGGGCTGGGCATGGTGGCTCATACTTGTAATTCAGCTACTTGGGAAATGGAGCTGGAGAATTAAAAGTTTGTGGCCAGCATGGGCCACAACCTTTGTGAGACAGACCCCTTTTGCAAAAATACAGGATTTGGGATGTGGCTTAGTGGTACAGTGCCCTGGCTTGTATCCTCGGTATTGCGCACAAAACCCCTAAAATAAGTAATTCTCTTTTGTCATTTTAACAAATACACGTGGTAGTCTTTGACTGTTAAATTATCACTACATTGCTAATTCATGACTTGTTTTTTGATTATAAGAACTGGTTGAATGAGTTGAGATAATAAATTTGAAGTTACCAGTTCTGCCTTCTGCTTGGAAAACTGGTTGAGATCATTGAAATCATTTTCAGTCACTGTGGTCTCCACATGACTGCTTCCTGCACCCCTATTGGGTGTCAGCATGAGAGTTCTGGCCTCGCCTTTGCCCTGACGCCCCCCTCCACAACTTCCTCACCGTGTGGCTCATTTGGAATGGGGCAGGTGCCAGAGACTCCAGTGAGCAACTGGAGGAAGCAGTTGGAAACACAGAAGATCTTTGAGATAGTTTTCCTTTCTGCCAGATGGCAAAATATTTGAACGTGTCCTAAAGCCTCAGCTGGGTAGGGGCTCTGTGTCCCTGCTGTATTTGTGCTTCTCAGCTCAGCCCCTGGGCTGTAGTGAATCGCTCACCGAGTCCTGAGCTCTTCTCCAGAGGAGATGTTAGACGCGTGTTTCAGCTTCTGTGTGCAGGACTAACGGGATTTAAACAGCATTCTCTTCTGGAAGCTCAGGCAGGAGGAGGATTCCAGGGCCTGGTAATTGTTGCATGCCAGCTGTAAGTGGCATGTTTACTTCACGCTGTGCTGGGAGTATAGGGTTCAAGTCATTGAGAAAATTTGGATCATTTCCACTCAAATCTAACATCAAAATTATTTTAGTGTTTTACAGATTTCACATGTGTAAGTACTTGCTGCTAACAGAGCTGGGCTTTCAGGTGGCATACTAAACATGGTTGCTGAGGGTGCTTCTCACTGGTGGTGTATGCCAAAGTATGAAGACTAATACTCAGAACTTGCTTTTGAATTTGTAGTGAGGCTGTTACATTACTGTTTACTGCCACATGCATGAGAATCACTGTCACCACAAAACACAATTCTGTTTGCATTGGAATTTGTTGGCCTTGAGCCATTGGATTACTGTCATTTGTCACTGTAGTGCCACTTCAGCAGTGTAGATGTTCATTTCTAAAGACTTGCATGTGCTTGGGCTGCAATTTTCCTGTCTGTCACAGTGTTCCCTCGGCAGGTCTTTGAATGTTCAATTCAGTTAGTCCATGTTGGGTGAGCTAATGTAGAACATAAAGGAGGCTTACTGGGTGTGCTTATAGGATTTGTCTCAAGGACCAGAACCTGTGACTGGTCACAGATGTAGATGCAGAAGCCTCAGGTACAGGCTTTCCTGAGCTCTGTCATCTGTTGGGAAGCTTCCCAGCTCTGCCTCCACTGTCATCTGCAGACTTGGGAAACTGGAAACCACCCACTCTGTCCTGTCCTGGTTGCCCCTGGGGAAAGGGCAAGTGAAGTGTTTCCTGCTGTCCAGGAGTGGTCCTGTCTGGCTCATGTGACAGTGAGAGGAACAATGATGGTGGCTCTGAGCATCCAGGCCCAGCTTTCACGTTATGTCTGCACCCTTATTTGTCAGATCAGTTGTTTACTTTTTTGGCGTCAAGTCATGGGCTGCGTCCTGAGCCCACATTGTTTGATTCAAGAGCCTCACAGTGGTGCATCAAATGAGAGAATCCCTTAGTGAGAAGGTGGGTGCTCCCGCTCTTATAGAGAC